GATGTGTGCTTGTAGAAATCCAATCAAGAATGGATCATGTAACATACAACCAAATATGAAAATTCAGATATTTGAGTGCAGATCTCATTCTCTATTGTATAGTAGTGTGGGCCAACCAAAAAAACACAATCCATTCCTACATTTTGAATCCCATATTCTAGACATATATCAATATGTCCCAGCACTACTGAGACCCTCCAACTCCCCCATACCGTTAGAAAGCTCTTAAAAATGGCTTTCAATTCATGTGCTTACCATACTCTAGTGTCTGTTGGGGACAAAGGACGATTAGGAGTTAGCGTGAGTTGAACCTCTCTTAATGCTCTACATGTTTTTCTACTGTGTGTGGATAACCGGCCATCTAATTACCATGTAATGACTCATGGGATTAAAAATTTGACTTGCACTAGGGCTACAGCGTGCACGTGCGAGCAAAAGTATTKTGGTTGCATGAATGTGGGATTCAAAAATTCAGCACGTGTCAACTGGTGTAAACTGCAGTACAAGCCAATTTTTTAGTCAAAGTAGTTATTACACACAAAATAAGGGCCCAAAATGTACGACTGTATCGTACATTTGGTAGCCAAGCCTATATGATAATTTATCTAGTCAATAGGAATATTCTTTCATACTCTTTCATACTCTGTACCTTTACACACATTGAATCAACATAAACTAATTTAGTAGAAAAGACAACATGATAGATCACTCTGACTATTGCCAGCTTATAGTTTGTGTCCAAGAACACAACATGACTATAGGAAATGAAGGGATCTAATATACAGCAACAGTGTCCAAGGACCTAAATTAAACACCAAAGCAAGATGGACCCAGCATTAAATGAAACAAGAGCTGACTGGACTACCATTGGCAACTAAAAGAGCAACATGTTGCAACAGTTCAGCAAAACAAACAGAAGCTCAGGTAAAAAGCAAGCTATCAATAGTTCAAAGAAGTTCACCAGACACAACACGGGTGTTCTAGAAGCAATAGTGCTTAGTACTGAAGACAGGAACATCACACAGTTCAATAAGCTCCAGGATTGGTTACAAACTGTCAGGGGGTCAAAATACAATACAACAGTAGGAAGCTTAATCAAGCTCCTCAAATGCTTTGACCAGATGAGGTTTGCAGTTTGCACCAACCAAGCTAACCAAGAAAGAATAAACTAAGAATTATGTAGAGGACGCCAATCTCAAAGAAGTTCTTGTAGATAGCAAGGATCAATTGAAGTTAGGCGCCAAGAATGAGTACACAATATATCTAGTAAGCAAGATGGAGAAAGTGTATGCTTTGGCATTAAGGCAAATTTATGACAGGATGAAAGAGAAACTAAAGAGAAATGATTGCATTGTTGAAGTTGCTTTGAGATATTTACTTCCATGGAAGCAGGACAAAGATTTACACACCAAAAAACCTTGTGAGGGCTGCTATCCAAAAGTTGATATGCTCAAGAAAACAAAATGCTGACTATAGAACCTACATGGAGTCAGTAATACAGTTCAGTGAAGTGCTGCAAACCACAGGGGGCAAGAAATACATGAGTCTAGCGTTAGTGAACTACGTAATTGACACAAACAAAAAGTACAAGGACAAGATATCATATGAGAACTATGTTAGTATGGACCAAAAGGATGAGGTGCAGAAGAAAATACACCAGGCAGCCTTCCAGTAATTTGTGGCGGCAATTATCATTGAAGGAAGTGATAAAGAGACTAGCATCCTTAAGGAGACAGCCCTGTGCAAGCAGTTTAACCTGGGCATGAACAGATATCCTGCCACAACAAACAGAGCACATGGGATGCTTAATAATCTAAAAGGAGCTCAGAAGGCAAAAGCTTCCAAATCAATGGTGGAAACAACAACACCAGAAAGATTAGGAGGCCAAAGGAGTGAAACTGACTGGGCAGCAAATGCTGATGGTGGTGGTGGAAAAGGGCAAGGACTTGTTACAAAATGGACAACTACTTTTGGCAGCAGCTGAGACTATGTTGCACAATACCACATATAGATTAGCAAGGAGAACAACAGCAACTCATGGATGGACCATGTGGCAGAGCTTTGTTACCTGGAGGAGCAGTCCAATGGAAACTCTTTCCTAATCAATGATGCAGACTGCACTACAATCAGTATACCCAATTGTATAGACAACAATAACTGGGACTTCATCTGGGCCCAGCAGGATGTAGAAGGGGATTGGGAACAAGGAATTAGCAACCCAGCCCTGCAAAAACTCAGGAGTGACACCAAGTTGCTTGCAGAAGATGCAAACAGTGCTATGGATCACAAACACTAGGCCAGATCAATGGTTGAACAAGCAGCTGTGCAGCAACCATTTGGTTCAGTGTTCAAACACATTATCTACCCAGTGCTATCATGTATATCCTGTCCTCTAATGTGAGTGAGCAGAGTGACTACAGCAGAAAATGGGGCAGGACTGTTGTGGCCCTCGACCTAGCCTGCACTGACTGCCAGGCTTTACACTATGGGGTAGAAAAGGTGGTCCAATACAGTCCAAAAGTGGAGCAATTAGTGGCTGAGTACTGAAGAGATAGTCCAACAAGCACTAACCTATGTCATGTTCCTTAAAAGGAAACAGAACACTTCCATCAAAGGTAGGGGATGTACCAACAGGTTATGACAGCAGGAATTCATCTGTAAAGAGGATGGCACCTCCCCAGCAGTGTTACTGCATGCACTGGTGCTATCATGTATTATTGTGATGGGACATTGCAACAGTTGATATACCAGGTGCTTTCATACAGACCAACATACCACCAGATGGTGGGGAGAATGTCTATATAAGATTGGGTGGTTCTATGACTGAGCATCAAAAGATGTACAGCAAGTACATCCTCAACAAGAATGGCAAGAAGACACCATTCACCTGGGCCAAAAGGTCATATACTGTACCTTGAGAGCAGCACTACTGTACTAGGAGAAGCTACATAGACAGCTTGAGGAGTGGGCCTTTGAGATGAATCCATACAATCCTTGCACTGCGAAGGAAGTTATTGATGATAAACAGTGTACAATAGTGTGGCATATGGATGATCTGAAGATATCCCACCACAAAGATCCAGAAGTATTGACCAATATAATCAAGGATCTAAACAGGAAGTTTGATGTGGAATCCTCATTGATAGAGACTTTTTGTGGCAAAATCCATGACTCGTTTGTGGGCTCCTGGATGCATAACAATGTTGTCCATATTTGAATACCTTTTTGAAGACATTCTTCAGAGGCTCCCTGGTGGCAGTTTAAGATGTAAGGCAGCTACTCCAACAGCTGACCACCTATTCAAAGACAATGACGATGCAAAGAAGTAGACCAGATATGCAAACAGCAATAGCATCTTTCCTGTGCAACAGGATATCTATCCCAGGCATAGATAATTGGAAGAAGCTACAAGAACAAGTGATGGGATACCTGGCCAAGACACCATTTCTTGTCCCCCWGTGCTTGGATGGGATGGGACTGGAAATGTATATTGGTATGCCAATACTGCATTTGCATTACACAACGATATGGGAGGGCATTCAGAGAGTTTAATGACCCTTGGTAGGGGTACAGCAATTGTCACCTGTACAAAGCAAAAGCTGAATGTGAGTGAAGAGCTCCGCTGAAGCAGAAGGAGTGGTGGGAGGCAATGACAACATGATGCCTTCATCATATGAGCAAGATATTTCCTAGAGGTGTAGAGGCAGCATATGAGTGACAACATCATGGACAAGGAGAGTGAATCCAACAGGCTGATGCAAAACAGCACCACCCTAGTACATCAGGAAAATGAGAGTGCAATCAAGCCTGAACAAAATGGTCTACTAGTACCTAGTAGTAGTACCAAGTGGACCAGACATGTCAATGTGAGATACCCTTTTGTAACTGCTTAACAGCTAAAGAAAGGGAAGGTTACAGTTGAATGCTGTCCCATTGATGATATCATTGCTGACTATTCCACCAAGAAGCCACAAAGTTCCAAAAGTTCTGCAGCAGCACCATTGTTCAACAAGAAGGAATAAGGAGCAAGGCAGACTACAATTGGTTCAATGAATTGTATCATGAGGCTCAAGCACAATGTTCTAATGGTCAATCAAGCAACAGTCTGCAAATGAATGTGTGATACTGCAGTACTACTAGTAAATATAGCAAGCTTTGCATAGTAGTAGTACAGACAGTAGTAGTGCTGGTGTTGTGCTGCTGGTCCCAGCAAACACCAGCAGTTCTTGTTGAGGAGTGTGTTGACGTAGTATGGATGTTGACAAATTACAAACAAATGTCAATTACCAATGTGATTTATGGCTAACATGTCTATATTGGCTACGGTGCACTGCACTGCACTTCACTATCTTTAGTGCGCGGTAGCCAGTAACTTTGAAGAATTCTTGCTTACAGTACTGGACTTAGTACCGAGGAAAAAAAAATAGTGTGGATTTGTACAAACCCCGGTATATTAATTTTTGCAAATAAATTAGTAGCTTGACCAAAATAAATTATTCATTTTTAGCTTAAACATTCAGGAGTCATTATTGTGGCAACAAGAAGTCATTCTAGCACCAATAACCTAGTTTTTGCACCGTAGTAAGTTTTTTTGGCCGCCGCCATTTAAAAAAAAACAACGGCGGCGGCCGCAACCAATTTGTGGAATGCGTGCTGCATGTAGAAATCCATTCTCCATTCAAGAATGGATCATGAAACATACAACAAAATATGAGAATTCACTAGTAGATGAAGATCTCATTCTATTAATTTATCAAGTCAATCTAGTCAATAGGGTAAAACTTTTCCAGACTTCGCACCGGGCCCACAAGTATCGAATCAACAATTACTGCTACTACTGCTGCTGCTGTAGTTTCTTAGTCGCTACGGTACTGTTCAGTACTATCTCTTACGATGCAAAAAAGAACTTAATTTCGGCGCGAACAAAAATTAGTAGCGTTTACTGTTGTATTTTACCCATGTTGTAATATCCTCGTCTTGTCGCTTTTTAAGCTGTATCAATCGTTCCCTGCGGTAAGAGTACTGTATTCTATTGCAGTGCCCTGCCCTGCCCTCGGCTGCAATCTGTATCTGAACGAGGAGAAATATTGATACTGCAGAGATAGAATACCGCGGCGCGGGTCGATTGATTGCCTCAGTGGAAATCATGTCGGAGGAGGATCAAAGTTGCCCGATCTGTCTAGAGCACATCTTTCTGGATCCGTCGTCGGAAAACGATGGCGCTAACGGCAACACCAAGTACAACATTGGGGCTACAGTTCCATGTGGGCATCTCTTCCATTACGACTGCTTTGACTCGTGGCGGGCTTCGCAGATGCATCGTGAAGAGGTGAAATGCCCGACGTGCAAGTGAGTTTGCAATGCGTTGTGTTGTGTTGCGTTGCGTCGCCTCTCGTTCGAAGCTTCTTGCTGGTTTTCGGAATGCAACAAACGAAATTCATCGAATTTTCTGTAGTCTCATCATCCGTGGTCGCCGCTTCTCATTTTTCGTGTTGGTCTTTGCTGGGTTCTAAATTTTAAGCGTTTATACCAAGGATTTCGTCCGTCTTTATTTGGACATTGGATCACTGGGTGGAGCTCATTGTAACCTTGCAGGAGACGACGATATCAGCTTGTCTTCCATCGAGGACGAGGACATCGGCGACGACGATGGCAACTCCGACAACGGTGATAATGCAGAAGAAGAAATGAAAACAAATGCCTCCAACAGCCTCAAAAGCGACAACGTCGTAGATCTCACAGCAGAACCACTCCCTCGACGCACACCAAGTGCTAAACAATCGCAATGTCCTTCCGGGCCATGTTGTCCCAGCCTCGACCAGGAAGCAGAAGACAAGATCTTGAAATTGTCGCGACTAGCAAAAAAGTTCAAACGGCAGTGCCTCCAAAAAACTGCCAAATACAAAGAACAGTATGCCGAAAAACAAAAAGTAGCCGAACGAGTCCGGCGTGTGGAAAGTGAACTGAAGGTCGCCAAAGCACAAAATGAAACTCTGGATCAAGATCGAAGAAGAAACGAACTGCAAGCGAACGACCGGCTGTTGAACCTTCTACGGGTACAAAGAAACTACGACAGCTTGACGAAGCAATATAAGGATCTAGCGGTGGAAAAACACACCGTCGAGAACCAGCTCCACAGTTGCAGGTCACGCTACGAAAAAGAACTAGAGGAAGTTCGTGCCAAGACCATGTCGGAAGTCAGGCAAATTCTAGACGATCACCCGAAAGTAGTAGAAGAAAACCGGATATTGAAACAGAGACTCCAAAAATTGAACCAGAGGCTTCCTATAAGCGGCAGCAGAAAATCTAAGTCAAAGGATATTACCAAAGCGCTTCGGCAAATGGATCAACAAATCCGCAATCGCCCGAACGGGCTCTCCTCATCGTCGTCGGCATCGTCGATGGCAATGACAACTCAGCTAGGAGTGCCAATTGATACTAAAACATTGCGAAGGAAACCAGCACCAACGATGCGGCTGGGAGACGATGGAACAGTGGGAAGAAGGATAGAGAAAAAAAYTGATCCAGCCGGCAAACCCAAGAAAATGGAGGTCAAACTAATCAGGGGGCAATATTCGAGTCTAGCATCCCGAATCGTGAAAGAGTCATCGTCGGCATTGGCGTCCCAAAAACCCAAGAGGCAGCGGCAGAGTGCTGCTGTCAGGGACATTCTTTCCAGTCCCGCGTCGAAGAGCATCGAAAGTAAGAAACGATCATCGTTGACATCACTGGGCATATCGCAGAACAAACGAATAAAGCAGTTTGGTGGGTTCAGAAAAGATTTCTTCGAAAGGAAACGTTGATCAATTTCACGACCGTATGGAAATACGAGACCATATTACCTCTGTAGAGTAGCTATTCTCTGAGTATCCATGACCACTCGCAAAAGCATAACGATAGATTGTGGTATGAAGAACACATAAATTTTTGTCTTATATTATTGCAGTATCTTTCCAGTCAAAAAGACTACAATAATAGGTACCGAAACGAACCATTTGTTGAACTTTTACTGAAACGCAAGGATTATTGAATAATGTACAGACATGAATATGAAAATTCCATACAATGAAACACTTTTACTTAGTTGGAGTTTCTCAATCTTGAAACTGCGACCTCTCACTTCTCACAACAGACATTTCACATAATAGTTCTTCTCTCGGTAGCAATTTGAGGATGTTAGTTTTTACTGGAAATCTGCTCGAATCACCGTCTCGACGTCCGACCGAATGATAAGTTGAGGATCAAAATTTTCGTCGTCCTCCATCTGGGCAATTCTCATTCGTTTTCTAACTTCCGTCCGACATCCGGTTAGAAGCATCTCACTAATTCGACCATTTCGTTCTCCGCGCCATTGCACGGACGTTTCTTCTTCCAAAAGTCTTGCAATAGTACTTGCTTTTAAGTCATCTGCTAAGTCAAAACCTTTGGCATTGGCTAGGTCCATGAAGATTTGAGCCAATTCTACACATGAGTAATCAGGGAATTCGAAGGTAATTGGGAATTTCTTGCGAAGTTCTCCCTGGAAAACCATGAATGTATTCATCTCTACAGGGAATCCAGCCAAAATTATGAGCGGGAAATTGTCATCACCGCGCTTCTTCGACGATTCTTCAATCGAGCGAATAATTTCATTTATAGAGTCCACTCCCGTGTCTGATTTATTGCGTCTTGAGGCAATGCCCAAGTTATAAGCTTCGTCAATGAACAAAATTCCACCACGTGCCTCGTCGATAACTTCCTTTGTTTTCATGACCGTAGTCGTTTTGTCTCTTCCTACGAGATCCATTCGTTCCACCTCCAGAAATTTGGGCTTGCGCAAGATACCCAATTCGTGGTAAGCCTTGGCCAGCAAACGGGCCACAGCGGTCTTTCCACTTCCGGGATTTCCCATGAAGACCATGTGGTCAGCTCTAGGGCGCCCGGTATCCTCTGCCAATGCTGGGGGGATCATGTTGAGAGGATGGCTTCGTCCGCGTGCTCCACCAGGCGGAATGAGCGATTCCTTCAAATCGCAAATTTCGGCCGTGCGACGCAATCCACGGAGCTGCACGACACGTTATGGCGTGGATTGAACAAATTCACTGTTAGAGGCTATCCACTTAAACAAGCAATTCTCGTTTTCAGTACATCATTGCCTTACCTGACTCTTTATGTGATCCAATCCAATAATCGAGGACAAAAGCTCTTCGACTCTGTCTCTTGGTCCAGAATGTCCAACAGTCATGCCTCGGGCGTCTCTGTGCGGTCTGCTTCGCTTCCTCACCGCCTCCAACAAAATCGTTTCGGCATCCAGAGCTCCGCCGTTCTTGGAATCTTTGTTGTCCAATTGATCGGAGAAGGCAATCTCGAGTTCATTCGGGTCCATACCAGCCGAGTAGAGGGCATGGGGGAATCGATCTGCGAGTTTTCGCACAGCGGCGAGCGCCAACTTCACGGAATGGCTATTTGAACGAGAGCCGCCGCCTCCGGGACTCAAAGCGTTGGCTCCGCTGTTGCGCAAACTTGCCATCTTTCGCTCCAACATGTCAGCCTGCTCGTTGAATTTGTCAGTCTTTTGTCGGCGAGTCATTTCCGGGGGCAGGGGACGACCTTCCAACATAGCCACAACTTGGTCATTGACCATGGCTTCATCCGCCATGGCCAAGTCCAAGGGAGTCATGCCGTCGTCATTCTGCAAGTGCAATGCATCCGGATAGGCATCGATCAAGACTTTGACGACTTCGGTGGAAGCACGATTGGAGGCTGCCATGTGCAGCGGTAACGATCCGTATTGGTTGCGTACAGTGGCACCTTCGGGGTGACGAACTAACAAAACCTCAACGGTTTCTACAGGTGCTTGCCACATAGCTGCCTGGTGTATGGGAAGATTTCCAACACCATTGGGCTGAGATGCACCCCCGGGATATGCACGCAACAAGACTTCAACAACATCGGCCGTGGCCTGGAAACTACAGGCAGCATGCAGTGGGAGATTACCACGGTCATTCAAACGAGCAGCCTCTTCGGGAAACGAGGGTTGCTACAACGCGAAAATGAGGCAAAACGATATAAGGTGAGAGTTCTGTGACAAGCCTGTGAGGAGATTAAAATTGGCGTTCTAAATAGCGATCCTCACCTTGCTGCGGCTCAAAAGAGCACCAAACCCTTTGCAAAAGTCGTGCAATTTGGTATCCGACATCGTTCAAAGTTAGTTTTATTCCTGTCGACTTCACAGAAAACACACAACTTGTTTTCTTCTAAACAAGATAGATAGGCGTTGATGGTTGTTATATTTCAGAAGCTTCTTTTCGGATGAAGGTATTCGACCCCTTTTTTGCAGCAGCTCTGGCATAGCACAAACATTGAGGTTAACGGAGGAGTCGTTGATTGATCAGTTGAAAAAAACAGTTCCTACCGTAGCCTACCGTAGGGTAATGTGGTTCAAATCCACGTGCAAATGCTCGATTGACGTGCGAGTACGAGTATGACTAGCCCTTAGGTTTTTCAAAAATCATCTCACCCACAAGCATTCAACGCTTCGTGCGCGCGTGCACGTCGCAAATTCTGTAAATACATTGTTTTATGTGAAATTAACGCCTATTTCATCAATACTGCCTCCAAAATTTTGAATGAACCGGCACTATATTCAGAGAATTTGTTTTTTGGTCATCGTCGCAAACGTTACGACTATTACGGTACGATAGATGCAGTCAGAGCTTACCTCCTAACGTTCGTATCGTAACCCATCATCACCTACATTAATATTATTGCAAGTCAACAGCGTGAGATTGTGAACACTGTAGTTAATTCTTGCCTTTAAAACAGAAGCTACTGGTACAATTTCTTAATTTGATAGAAGTCCGAAGATTGCACAACAATGGCGTCCTCAGGAGAATATGTCGAATTGCATGAACTGGCAAAGGGATGGAAAGCTGCGATCGGCCGTGCCATGGATCCAGCTACGAAACATGAAGCACAAATTCGCAACGACCGAGGAAACCTGCCTCTCCACTCTGCTACTTCTTTCCGTGCTCCGATCGACGTCGCAGGTGAGTATCACGCGCATGAAATTTTATCTATGACCAAAGTCGTATGCTATCACTTGTATCTATGATGTTAGATTATTGCTGACCTCTGGATTGCTGTTACTATCGGATTCGTTATTTGGTTTTCTTTTTGTTGAATTGATGGTTCGATCGGGAAAAATTGTTTTGGCTTGCGATATTATTTTGATCGTTTCGCAGAGGCACTTCTGCAAGCCTATCCAGAGGCCGCGTCAATCACAAACAATTACGGAAATCTCCCCCTTCATTTCACAGCATGGAAGAAGGGACCTCTCGAAGTAGAACGTCTCTTGCTGAAAATCTACCCTGAAGGTGCAGCGCAAAAGAACAACCATGGCAACCTTCCTCTGCACTATGCCGCTCACTACAATGCTCCTCTCGAAGTTGTAGAGGCGCTGTATAATGCATACCCGCAGGGTGCAACCCAGAAGAACAATGACAACAACACTCCCCTCGATCTGGCGATTGCTGACGGAGCCAGTCCAAACGTGGTGAGCTTGTTGCAGGGAAAGAAAGTTCCACCCACCGAGGATGAGGCTTTGGAGAAGGCCAAGAGACGTTACGAGGCAGCAGAACGCGAATTGGCACGACATATGAGTGAATCCACAGGTACAACCGAAGAAATGGAAGAAGTATTGGCCTTGCTGTTGGATATTTATGAGGCACATCCGCATGCGCTTTACTCGGCCGGCATCAATCCCGAAAACGCTGGAACAATGGACTCCATGATGGAAGAGGTAAGTTTTGTTTTGTCACGAAAGTGCTTGCCACTCAACGATCACGTCAAATCAAGTATCATGGAACTAAATTTGATTCTGATGCTCCATCCAAATGATTTAGGTTCGAAAAGCAGCTGCCGCAGACAATTCGCATGCAAATGGCATAGGTGGCATTGAAGACTATGCTGGTCGCAATGAGAATGAAGAGGAAGCGCAACTTATCGAAGACGCTTTGTGTCCCCCTGATGACACAGTTGAAATAGCATTGAGCAAGCTCGTTGGTCTCGAGGCAGTCAAAAACCAAATCCGTGGAATGCGTAGAACGATGGAACTGGTCAAGACGGAGCAAAATGGAAAGCTCGCTCACCCAAGTCACATCGTTCTAGAAGGTAATCCGGGAGTTGGGAAGACTTCTGTTGCAACCATCCTTGCAGATGTTTTGTATGAAATTGGTGTAACCAAGACGCTAAATTTCATGAGTGTTGGTCGAGATGAACTAATTGACCGCAAGAGTGAATCAAGAACCATTGCAAAGACACGGAAAGTGTTAGAGAGAGCCAAAGGTGGTGTATTGGTTTTAAATGAGGGCTACACTTTGTTGCCAAGTACGGCCCGTCCTCGTTCACGGGATCATGGAGGTGCTGCTCTAAGGGAAATCGCCCGTACCTTGCCGTCTGGAAATCCTCTTATCATTTTGACAGGAAGTTCCCTTGAATTACAGCGTATTTTGTCCAGTGAAATCGGTTTCAAGAGCCACTTTCTAACTCGAATCGAATTCTCCGACCCCACCCCAAGTCAGGTTGCCCGTATTTTCATTGGCAAAATGAGCGAAAAGGGTCTGGTGCCAGGAGATGGTGTCACAGTGGATTATCTTGCTGAGTTAATCTCTACAAATACTGATGAAGATTGGAGGTTGGAACGCAACGGCCGTATTGCTGACTTGCTCCTGAATGGAGTAAGGGCAGAATTGCGAAAGAGAATGCACTTCAGTGATGACTCAAGCAAAGTATCGTTCAGTCCTATCAAGATGATGAGTCCAACAGCCGCGTCAAGGATGCCCGCTGCTACTCCTGATGAGATTTTTGTGACCGTTGAAGATGTGCAAAATGCTATCGTTAATGGAATGTAATAAAAAGACATAGTGCCCATCAAATTCTTGAAGCATTCTTTTCGGAAATAAAAGCACCTTCGTTCAATCTTTGTGACAATTATCTTTATAAATTTAAATGTGAGTTTTTWACGTATCCTTATATTTTGTTCTTTAGCGAGACTATTATTATTCTGCTCCGAAAGCACTTCGCTCCGAAAATGTCGGATCTAAATAATTTTTGGCAACGATAGGAATCAAGCAATGGTTTTCTCAAACAAGCTATCCCTCACGTAATTTGAGACAAACTGTGATCGATGAGCAAAATCAGACGATTGAACTCCGTTGCACTTGAATGTATCTGCTTGCAAAATTTTTGTATCCAAAGGACAAAGAGATTCCCACTGGATATCCTTCATTGTATGAAGAATTACTTGTTCGAGTTTTTGTCCAATCTCATATATTGTCGTAACATCGATGTCAATCACCGGGGTCACCATGAAGCCCCCACATGGAACAATATAGGGCATCACACCAACATCTTCGCAATGTTTCCGTAAACAAGCGTTTGCTAGTTTTCTGTGTTTTTCATCGCGTAGTATTCCTTCCTTATTGAATATCGCTCCCCACATCAATCCTTGGCCATGAGTTATCAGCATGCCATCAGAAATCACTTCGAGGTATCGGAAAATACGAGCCATTTCCTCTCCGGAGTTGACAATCGATGGAATCCACTTGGGAATTTCTTTGAGAACTTCAGTGGCTGTCATAAGAGCACGAACAGAAGATCCAGCGTACGTATGTGACTGCATAACGGTCCGACCAGCAGTGCATAGTACATCACGGCCCTTCTTTAAAATAGCCCCTGAAATAGGATAGACCCCGCCTCCAATAGCTTTTCCAAACGTTATGGCATCGGGATCTAGCGCAAGATCGTGAGAAGCAAATAAAGATCCTTTACCGTGGCGACCAAGACCACACATAATTTCATCACAGACGATGCRAATATTCCTAGCTTTCGCCATAGAAACATATGACTTAAGGAGGTTATCTGGCCATGGAAAGGCTGCCTGCGATGATCCCCATTGCTAATGTGAATCCAGAGTTCATTTGCAAATATGCCAAAAGGCATTAAAATTAAATCGGTGAGGTTGGCGGAAGAAAGGGTAGGAAATTAGACGTTGTAATTCAAAATGTTGCTATTCGTACCGGCTCAATCAACAGGACTCCAACTTCATCCCCGTGCTCATCGAGAAATGATTGGAACCTTTTGAGGTAAAGAGATTCGTTCACTTGTTCTCCTGCAACGGGCACTGGGTAAATGACTTGTTGTGTTTTCTCCCAGAGCGGGCACCTTGAACCAAAAGATGTCGATGGAGGGCCGTGGTAAGACGCATTCGCCACCGCCACAATTTTCCGATCGTGGCTTTCGCTCTGCAAAACCATGTCAATTGCAGCCCAGACAGCCGACGCCCCTTCTAACTGCAAAGAAACACACCAATCAATGTCTTCCATTTTATTCCAAGGAAGATGGGGCTCAAGTGCTTCGATAAAATCAGATAGTGCATCTGGGACACCGCCGGAAGTATGGATAGAAAGAGGAGGTGCGCACTCGCCAGACATGAGCTTTTTCATAACGTCTTGCTCGTATTCAAGTCCATGTTGAAGAATTCTTCCCAATCTTGGACCAGAGAAACATTCAGAACAAGCAAGTCCGACAGATAATATTTCTTCTGCTTTGCCGCTAGGAAGTCTGCGAAAATGCTTCACCCCGTCCTTCTTCAGAACGATAGGCTGAGCAACTCCAGCAGGAAATCTACCGGCATAGTGCGAGTGACCATGCTTACGCCTTTTTTTATATTCCATTTTCTTGTGTCTGTTGTCCTCTCTACTACTAACTGATTTGACTCTATGGACTTAGATCATACCGAATCGCATCCTCAAGAAGCTACCACAGGTTTGCTCCAGTCCTGCACCAACATTCCTCCATGGAATTAGCTCTTCGAAATGTGGTTGGCCTTGCCTCTTGCAGTTTTTCGCACCTGTAACTCTGCCAATCAAGAGGTGAGTAGTTTCACATCTTGTTCCYAATATTTACCATTCCGGTAGGTACTCGTACGTACGAGTACGAACTTGAAGAGAACAACATTATCAAATTGTGAGCGGATAATTCGGAAAAGAAATTCTTTTCTGATCGCGAATGATGACGTGTACGAAGGAAAGAGAAGATACCAATTCTACTACGGTACATACGGTGCGCACCATGATGGAATCGAATTCAATTTGAGGGAGGAGAGATGGGATTTTGAAAAGTCCTACTCCATGGGTACCCTTTCCAGAAATCTACTGTTTCTACTTTTCATTTCTCAAAACATGCTGTTTTCTTTAAAAATAGTTTTTTTCTGAAAACCTACCAATTCCCATACCTTACTAAGTAATATCCCCGACGTGTGGTTGCCACACGTGTTCCTTTGCTTTCAACTCACTTATTTCCTCCAACCCGGAATGCACATACTACTAGTAGATGGTAGTAGTAGTACTAGTAGTACTAGTAATATTCCATTGAAGATGGAATATAAAAATAATAATAACTGTATGAATTCAAAGGTTTGGTTTTAAAAGCGTGTCATAGTAGGACACATTAGAAACAAGAAATCTTGTTGCAGCTTAAGGTTTTCGGAACAAATAAAACCTCCATTGCAGGGAATCGGTAGGTTTTGAGAAATAAAAACCGTGAACAGTAGATTATCAGAAATGATTCCCCTACTGTATGCCATTTATTAAGGCTGCAAAATCCTCCCCCTCATTCCATACTATTGTACCTTGGACTTGTACAGGTAGTACCAGGGCGGGGATAAATTAAGGAGGGGTGTGCAACTTGCACGTTTTTAAGCATCAGGAGGAAAAAATCATATTCCATCCTCTACGCGGCGACGAAACTGGCAAATTTGCAATTTAGTACAAATTTAGTCCCTTACATGTTAATGCATGTAATAAGCTGCACAATCTACAGTGCAAACTTAATTGTGGTGTAAAAAAGCATCTAAGCATCCAATTAAGACCTAGTTTTTTGTTGTAGAATTTATCTTAAAATCCTAATGAACATGTTGGGTTTAGTGGGTAGTTGGGTCATACAATTTTTATGCTGAAACTACTGGTATAAGTAGGAGGTCCTAGTAGTAGTACTACTAGTAGTAATAGTACCAGTAGTGCTAGTACTAGAAGGAGTATTACTAGCTTCCCTTGTCAGATATCCTTCTAAGACCACCTTACAGAAATGGACATGGTATTTAATCAAAAATATTAATGGCTTGGAGGATGATACAATTGGCCTTGAAAACAGATATAAATTGATTCAATGCTGTTGCTGTAATTACTCAGATGACATTCTTTGCTGGCAAGCCTATTTATGACATTGACTACAATGCTCACTGTTTCTAGTAGTCTGTACACAGAACCAGAGCAGCCCCACCAGCAACAAAGATGACAAACCAATCAATCCCCTCTCACCCTTGTGTAGACAAACAACTTCACTCTAAAGATATGATCTGCCAGCATAATAGCAAGCACCAATGGTGGTACCTCAATGGTCTCAAGCAAGAATTTCCAGATTAGCACTAGTACTAGTTGCAATGGACTGGAGGAATCCACTAAAGATTGGCTTGCCAGTGTGGAGACTCACCCTGGGCTTAGATTCAAAATTGAAGCCTCCTACTGCAGTTTGAAATGTACAAGCATTATTGCAGGATAGATTTGTAGATAGCCTTTCAATACTACTAGTAGGTGAGGTTGGGCCCCCTGAGGATTGGGGGCTTTTATAGAGGTCCTCTTTGTTGGTGGTATCTTGAGCATTGGTGATTTTGGAGGCATATTGGGGTCTTCTTTCCTTGCTCCCAGTGGTAGTACAGTGTCTTTTTTCTGCTACCTTTGTTGTAAGTGTTGCCATTGGTGGCTGGAGGGAAAAGTGAAAGATTAGAAGGAGTAACAACCACACCAGAACAACAACAACAAGAAAGAGGAGAATTAACCACCACCATCACATACCTCTACTTGGTGATGCTTGAACTTGTTCACTGTGAGAGTGGAAACAATTAATTGCTAGCTCTGGCAATAGTAGTGCTCAACTGAAACAGGAACTGGTTTTCTTTGGGGCTTATATTCCAACTGGCAGGTCCTTTTGTTCACAGGTTGAGATAAAAGCAGTAGCAGATCTTTAGTTTGTTGACTAATTCCTTTTCTTACTATTCAACTTCTGAAGACTTCTTGATGTTTTTGTTGGCAGAGCCAACTTATTGTGCAATGATTTCAACATTATGAGGGCTTGCATTCTGACTGCTGTGATCATTTAGATACTTGTGGTCTTTTACTAGTGATAATAGTGTTGTGATTTTGTTGATCTTGCACAAATAGTAGTATGAGGGCCTTGCTGCTCCAAGCAGCGGCAGCAAGAAGCTTGTTCCTAGAAGTCATCATCAACATGTGTGAAACAATTTGGTGAGTCCTACAAAGATGTACCTGAATTCCCTTTATGCCCAATTCATTTTTGATGTACTACTATTCTCAGTCAACTGAAGGAAAATGACATGCAAGTTTCATTGGATGTGATGGAGTAAAATGTGTTAATTATGAAATACATACTAGTGAGTTAAGGAAGGAAAGATCATTATATGTGGTACCAACAAACAAATAACAATTGCAATTACATCGCTCACTAGTAGTAGTAGTAGTAATTGAGGCATTGGGAACATTAAATGTTAACGTACAATTCCACTTAACATTCTTCCAAATGTTAGCTTGGGAGGTGTTCTCTTGTTCTTCTTCCTCTTCCTCTTATATTTAGTACTAGGAAACAACAACAACAAGAAGACCAAAACAAGAATGATTGCTGGTTTTTGATGCTAGTACTACTACTAGTAGTAGTGCACTGCCAAATGAAGAATGGGGATAAAACTACGATCTATGTACAGTGACATACCAACTTCCAAATGCTAAAGTCACATTTGGAATGTTTTTGTTTATCATTCTGAATGTTAAATTACTGGGATACTACTACTAACATTCCAAGCAACGCCTCAATTTACGCGTAATAAAGTGCAGTAAGGACGATGGCGGCCAAAAAAACTTACTATGGTGCAAAAACTAGGAGGTTATTGCTAGTAGAACAACTTCTTGTTGTTGTTGTCACAATAATGACTGAATGTATAAGTTAAAAATGAATAATTTATTTTGGTAAAGGTACTAACTTATTTGCAAAAATTAATATACTGGGGTTTGTACAAATCTACACTAAAAAAAGGTTTCTTTTTGTTTCCTTGGTAAGTCCAGTGCAGTAAGAATTCTTCAAAGTTACTGGCTAGGCACACTAAAGATAGAGATCGTGAAGTGCAGTGCACCGTAGCCAACTGTACGAAGTATTGTACGTACAGTACAGTACAAAGTACTTCGTAAGTAGATTGAACAAGAAGGGAACAAAAATTCAGCTTACTACGAGTTTCATAACAATTGAAACTGGGGTTGCGCAGCGCGCAAGTGCGCTCAAGTTAAGACTTAAAGCGTTAAAACAAAGTTAAGAACTTTGAATCAAAGTTGTCAACTTTCAGCGCAAGTTGCCAACTATGCTAGGTAGGCGTACGTACAATACYTACTAGCCCCGCACCGTGTCACGCTGGCTGGCCAACAGCTGCTCAGCAAGAAGCAAGATTAGCTGATTTGGATGGATCCTAGTACATTGCTGTGTAGAAAATCCTGTAGAAAATTGTGAATCAAGGTAGTTCACTGCAGGTTTTGCTGAAAATAGAAGGGTTTTTATCACGCGTTCAAAAATGTACTGTGTCCTAGTGTCTTGACCTTTACCTGCCTCCAGCACGCTGATACAGCGTGCTAATTTAGCGTGCTAATTTAGCGTGCTAATTTAGCGTGCTAATTTAGCGTGCTAATTTAGCGTGCTGATACAGCGTGCTGCAAAATTAAACTGTTCTTTTCATTGTATCGAAAAACTCCCCGGTTCAAAGCAACCGACCATGGGAATTGCTCCATTTCAAGCACTTCCACTCAACCTTTTCTAATGTAAGTGGTATCACTGGATAGATCTCTTTAATTGTCGATTGAATAAGCCTTGAAGTGTAGCAAAGGACCCAGTAGAAGTACTGCTTTAGTGTGTTACAGTAGCAACTCTTATTTTACGACGGCTTGCTTCTTTTTCGACCGACGTCGGCAGTATGAGCAGCAGCAACAACAACAACAAGAAACCCTCAGGGGCCACTGTCCCCAGCCTCCCACTCACTCAAACTAACCCACTCTATCAAGCAGCCTATTTTGCCCTGGAGAGGAAGAAGTTCCTTCAACTTGCAAAGAAGAAGCAGCATCTTTGTGCCATCCAAACCATCAAGGAAAGGGATGTTGAAGCACTTTTCCCAGGCAATCAAGCCAAGGCCCTTAGAAAAGAGATGCTCCTCCTCCATACTGATATTGTCTCTGTCGGCCTAGGCAAGAACAAGCGAGAGAAGGCCTGGAGATCTCACTATGTGTCTTCCATCCTTGCTTCAATCTATGTGGCAATGGAGATGAGGAAGGGGATGGAGTTTCCTACTCCAAGCGCCCAACGTGCCAGCAGATCCAGGAGCAGCAATGCAACAGCTCTTCCCCTCTTCCGGTCCGCTGCTAAGGATGTCAAGCAAGCTGTTGACAAACAGGAGGATKAGGACATTGAAAAGCTGAAYAAGMRMTCTTSCATCAAGCAACAAAAGTATGGGAACAGGAAGCAAGACAAGATCCCCTTCGATCCAACCAAGCTGGAGAAGGCTCCTTGCCCTCAGTGTGGATGTATGGCTTGCATGGCAATTACACCAATCGATGAAGTGAATCGAAAGAACAAAGAGAACTGGGACAAGTACATGGAAGAGGTCGATGAATACAAGCAGAATGGGGGGAACAAGAAGCCAAGATTTCCTCCATCAGAAGGACAGTGGATTGGTTACTGGGGATACAAGCTCCATTGCAAGTACCAAGCTGATGGAGGGAACTGTCCCGAATGCAGCAAGCCTGGGGCTGAGTACTTGCATCAAGACGCGGATGGAAAGCCAGCTTGCTCTTGTCCTATTTGCAACAGCAAGTGTGACGCTATGTTCCTCAGGGGGAACAGGCACAAGGCTGCTGGTGAGGCCAGGGAAAAGAAGGAGGCTGCTGCCGCCCCAGCAGCAGCAGCAGCCAATGCGTCCTCGTTGCCTCAGCTTTTCACTCAGTATGTCGGTAACTCGTTGCAAAACGGTGTGATTGATGCAGCTGCTCAAGCAAATACTGCTGTGGATGATCCAGTCGCTGCTCAAAATTCTTTTGCTTTTGCAGCACACAGATTGCTCACTAATCATGATATTCAAGGGAACATGGCAATGAGGCATGCCATGCAAGGAATGGGTCCAATGGGAACTGAGACCAGGGATGGGCTATCAATTGATGCTCTTAGGAAGGGACTGTCAGGGATCCAACAGTCGAACGAGCAAGGGGATTTGGTGTCCCTAATCCAAGGGAATTGCAACAGCAGCAGCCTCAACAGCAGGCCCCTGTTGCTCCCCAGCAGCCGCCGCTGCAGGCTCGTCCTACTACTGGTGTGAGAGGACGTGGACCTGCTGGAGGACCTCCTACCTTCAACCACCAGGATATTCGGCATTTCAGGAATAAGCTGTCCCCTGTTCCTGATAGGACTGATGATACTCGGTCCCCCCTTGAGGTTGAGCTTGCAAAYGCTGCTGCTGCTGCTGGTGGTGGTGGTGGTGGTGCTGCTGCTGTTGCGCGTCCTTGCCCTTCAGTTCCAGCAGCAGCAGCGATGCCTCCTCCAGCTCCGATTCCGGTTTCTACAGTATCTACCAAGTGATCCTACAGCACCAAAGGGTCCTCTAGCTTGCATCCTATCAGTATCCTTGATAGTGATAGTGACAGCTCAGGCTTCCTCTCCGATTTCTACAGCACAGGCAAGCTGGCAGATGTGAAGCCAGTGGTCGTGAAGTCTGAATTCAAGCTTCCTCCCTTGGCAAAGCGTCGAAAGGCTTCTGTTCCAGCTACTCCAGCGTTTGCAAGACAAATCAGACAGGAAGCTGTCTTGCAGTCTCATTGTGGTGACAACACCCCTTCTACAATGAAAGCGCTGGATCTACTGTCTATGAAGCTTACTGCTGGGGACACTAGTACTGAAGCAATGGCACTGAAGAAGCGAGCGCAGGATATGGAGAACGTCTGTCCCAATGTGGAGCAGGCAACTGGTTCCTTGGTAAAGTTTGCTAAGCGCCAGCTGTTTGCAAAGCAGGGGAAGCAAGCTTGTCCTGCTCCTTCAACCGCTGGTGGCTTGAATTTGCTTGCAGTAGCAGCAAGCACTGGCTCAAAGCGGCCAGCAGTAGGCCGCGGCTTGGGCCTGGGTCTAAAGCGTGTTGCCAAGCGTCCAGCTTTTAGCAGCAAAAAGCCTGTTGTTGCTGCTGTTTCAAAGAAGGTGTCAGCTGTTCCAAGCAAGAAGGCGAGCAGTCCTGGCGACTTGCCCAGCAGCCAGAGCTCAACCGGATTCGATTATGGAGACAGTGATTGATTGGTTGCTTGCTCATCTTGTCTTTCCTATGGATGCTGAATACTGAAAGCATCGATTCAAATGCTGAGTGCATCGATTCCTCTAATGGTGGTTCTTTTCCTCCTGTTTCTCCACCATTAGGATGTCCTCTTGCTGTCTCTTTTGTACAAACAGAGCAGCTTGCGCGTGCTGTTGTAATCCCTGTGATTGCTGTTGATAGAACGCCAGGTACCTTGTTGAGGTAGTACTACTATTGTAATAGTATAGAGACCCCCATATTAGTTTGTAAAGCAACTTGCTGTAGATTCCAGACGCGCTGCAGTATATTCAAAAACTGTAGGCCCAGGATGAGACGCGTGGTCAGCAAGCTGGTCCTTGGGGTATTGCTCAAGCCTATTGCATCTACTCTTGGTAGATATCATTCCTACTAAAGATAAAGTGTTTACAAATAGTACTGCTAGACTGTATAGATGAAGGACCACGCGTTGGATCCATTCCTCTTAAGTATGTTCAATCGATTCAACCGACTGCTGTATTCAATCGATTCAACCGACTGTAACTGTATTCAATCGATTCAACCGACTGTAATTCAATCCATCTAGTCAATCCATCATCCGAATCGATTGAGCATCCAAGCTGCAAGGCAAGCTGCTCCAGGGGACTGGAATCCAAGGGTCCACAGTGCAACTCAATTTGATAGGCCCAGAAGGAGTTGACTCGCCAGCGAGCCACGCTCCAGGGGATTGCTCCAGTCCATTACAGCTACTCTTCAAATCCGGCTTGCTTGCTGGAGACCATCGACGTGGTGTTGTTGTCGCTGTGTCCTAATATGTCCTAGGCTGATACACCCCATCCACAGTGTATCCACAGTGGTCAAAGGTTGAATCAAAGGGAGCAAGTGACCTAAAGGCCTCAGTTCTAATGGCGTGCTCCAAATCTACAGTGGTCCAACGGGGCGTTGCCATCTTGCTTACAGCCCCAATCAGATCACAGATCTTGTACTCAATGGGACCATACTTGGGTTGGTAAGGAGGGCGTGGGACAGCACTAAAGACAGTCCCTCCCCCAGCTGGTCTCACCTCAACTGTTTGAGCTACCATGTTGGTTAGATGAGCTCCAAGATTGTCCCAAAGGAACACTCTATCAGCATCAGTATCGCCAGGCGCTGGATTCTGCTCAATATCACTGCAAATCTCCTCAATAAACTGAGCAAAGGTCCATGCTGACGTCCCCCCAGCTCTGATCACCTCAATCCACCTCCTTGGATTCTGGATACTTCCCCTGGTCTCAGGAGGAAGCCAAGGATCCCCTGGCTCCACAGCGAAGAGAACAGTGAGCTTGTCGGTCCTCTCATAGTGTCCTATCTTCCTTGCTCTTCTTCTTATGAAAGCCCATCCATATCTGCAGTTTGTCCTCTGAAGGTTGAAAGCAAACTCATCCACATCAATGAACTTCCTTCTAGGAATCCCCACCACGCCAAGGGGGGGAGGAAGATTCCAGAACCACTCGCATCTCCTCCTGTTCCTAAACATGAAGGCTTGGTACGCTTCAGTGGATGCCCTCTTCCTGGTGAGCTTCATTCCAGCCAAGCGCCTGGAGATATCTACTCTTGAATAGATCCTCCCCCCCTGATTGTAGATGAATGTGGCATACTCATCTGCACGTTTGTTGTGTTAGTCTAGAGAGACCATTGCCAGCTCTAATCTTTGCTATCTTATCTGCTGGATCGTTGCTCATGATACTGTCGACGTTGAAAGAAGCAAGTTGTCGTAAAATAAGAGTTGCTACTGTAACACACTAAAACAATACTTCTACTGGGTCCTTTTCTATGGTTCAAGCAGTGTTCAATCGAAAATTGAAGAGAGCTATCGATTGATACCAAGTACAGTGTATAAGGTTGAGTGGAAGTGCTTGAAATGGAGCGATTCCCATGGTCGGTTGCTTTGAACCGAGTAGTTTTTTTTAGAATGAAAGAACAGTTTACAGTACTGTAATTTAGCACGCTAAATTAGCAAGCAGCGTGCTGGAGGGAAGTTTTCAGGTCAACCACACTAGGAGACAGTACATTTTTGAACGAGTGATAAAACCCTTCAATTTTGAGCAAAATGAGCAGTCTAACCCCCTTGATCCACGATTTTCTACAGGATTTTCTACACAGCTTTGTACTAGGATCCATCCAAATAGTAGATCAATTTTGCTCCTCGCTGAGCTGCTGGATCAGCAGCTGCTGACCTGCCGGCGTGACACGGTGCGGGGCTAGTACTAATCCTACGTAGGCCTACCTAGCATAGTTGGCAACTTTCGCTGGAAGTTGACAACTTTGATTCAAAGTTCTTAACTTTGTTTTAACGCTTTAAGTATTAACTTGACGCGACCCCAGTTTCAATTGTTATGAAACTCGTAGTACCGTACGGTACGGTACACTTGCTGCGCACAGTAAAAGACTTTTAATTATGACCCCTGCATGCGAGTTCATCCATGCCGATGCCGGAACGATTTATWTGCACTCGTACTCGTACGTGAAGGAAAAAAATACTTCTACGACTAATACTTCGTACGTACCGTACGTATTGTTGTAGCGCTACAGTAACGCTAGTCCGGGTATCAGAATTATTTCAAAAAAAAGGTGTCGAGTCGAGACAATTCATACGGAATGATGCAACGGACACTTTTTTTTTCAATTCATTACTTTAAGAGATTTTTAGTTCGATCAAAACGAGGGATAAACTGATTTCATACAACATCATTTAAAAGATGAGAGGATTCATTTTCTTTGCACTGGTGTTAGGATCGGTTGTAGCAACGAAAGTGAAACTTAGTTTTCGCAACCAAAGCGACGATTATTTGTCCTTTCATTGGATCCATCCGAAAACCGGAGAAACCTCTCCTATCAAAACAGACGCCATACCACATTCAGCATTTTCTCTGAACTCCTTTCTGTCGCACAAATTTGAAGTTCGACAAGAGATTGATCCCGAGACAGGTGATTGTGGCAGTGGGGATGACGAAGAATGCAAAATCGCCCATTTCCAGGTCACTGAGGCTCCCGTGCAAAGTGAGTCTTGTGTGTTGTTGGTTCAAAATAATCCTTACGGTCATTGTCATTATCGTCACCGTTATCAATATCGATGGTCTTGATCGGTCGGATGTAGCTCGTATCACGGCTCGGCTGGAGGTACTCGTAAAGATTGCTGCGGGAGTGCTCGATCTTGATATCTTGGAGAGCATTCCATTTTGACACGTCCTGTGATGGTGGTTTTTGTTTCTGAAGGTTCGTGTTCGGACTTCGTTCCGGCGGTGATCGAGTCCTTGGTCTTTGTCGGCCCGGGACGTCTTGTTCCTATTCCTTTCGGCCGCTACTTTCAATGCAGCGGTCGTACGGGTAGTGGTGTTTCATGTCATGGTTGTCATTGAGGGATAACAGTTTTATAATGAATTCAGCAAGGCAGATGAAAGTTATGTTTCTAGATTGGCTCACATGATACTTTTTTGCACGCACCGTCTATTTCTTCTAACAGCTTTCTTGATTGAGAACGGCTTGAAAATTGAGACAGTAGTTGAAGCACCGACTCCAGAAAGAAACGATCTTCTTGATCAAATCGACTTGACCGATGTCAAAGACCCAAGTGATACCTTGGTGTCGTGCAAGGAACGAGCTACACAACAATTGAATGAATTAGATGGAGTCCTCGACGGAGGAGCGATGATGAAACAAATCCATAGAGAACTTCACGATTGCATGACTGTGGGGTTGGCTCCGCGTATCAGAGCATCGAATATTGAAGTTGAGTTTGAACGAAGTCTTCGAATTGAAGCCTCGATAACCGCCGAAAATTTTACTTGTGCAGATGTAGGCTTGCAATCAAGTCCTGATGTTGAGACGGAGGAATGGGTGTCTCCAGTTGATGGTGTCACACGAACTGTGCACAAAAAGCTTCATCGAGCCGCAAGTCGTATCCACGTCGTTGAAAACTTCGCAAGTATTGATGAATGTAACGCTATGGAAGCCGAAGCAGAGGATGATTTACATGTTGCGTCAACTGCTGATGGCAAAGGGGGATCAAAAGTTTCAAATAACCGGAAAGCCATGCAAGCAGGTATTAGACCTAAATTCACAGACGATGGACAACCACTAGACGGCAATTTGATCTCAATCCTCAGTGGTCGCGTATACGAGTACACGAATCATGTTCTCGATTTGAACATTACGCATCATGGACAAGAACCGGTAAGTATCTATGTTATGTTTCCTCTGGAACAAAAATACAGTTTCATTTTCTGTCATTTGATTTGGGCAGGGAAAAACTTATTGTRTCGATCTTGGTTTTTTTTCACTTTTTCATGTTCAAGCTTATGTCCATTCAGTACTTCGGGAGAGGCAAACATGATGTAGAACCCGATAGGTACACCCCGCACTGCGATGGTCGTTGCAACGGGGAAAATCATATTTATGGGGGCAGAATGGCAACTATGGTCATATACTGGTGAGTTGAGCAGTGCGATAATGCAATTGAGGTAGCGATGCAAATTTTGGGCTTGATGCATTGTTGCTTCTAGTTGTCGTAGATGACTTAATTTGAGCTACGACTCTTTTTCGGTTCCATTTCTTTGAAATCCTCTCTAGTACCATTCCAGAAAAGGGAGGATTTACCAATTTCCAGAATGCCAATGTTCATGTGAAACCAAATAGTGGAGATGCCGTTTTCTTCAGCTATTTTGATCCATTGACGAATGTCACAGATTATGGGCTTACGCAGCACTCAGGATGCCCTGTGTATGAAGGTGAAAAGAAGATCATTACCCAGTGGGTGCGCTTCGGTGTGTCCAAGGAGACTCCGCATAGTGCATTCAACACACGTAAGTAGTATCGACTTTTTTTTAGTCAGATTTGTCTTGTGATGATTATAATGAAGTTCTCTCAACAAGATCTGTGCCGTTTCCACTTTTTGCAAACAGTAAACATTCTCCATGAAGAAGATGGGGAATAATATTTAGTGTACAAAAATTGCACTTGAAAGAAAAAAGAAATGGTCGTGCAAACTGTTGTAGAGGAACAGAGGCATCGAGTGAACCAGTGACATGCTGATCAAGTATGAAGAATTCAGTTAATGTTCCATTGTTAGATACCAAAGTCACAACAATATCTTCTGCTGACTCTTCATGGCTATCATTTTGTCACAAATAGATGGAATCTTTGAAATTGGTTGCTGACTACCTCTTCGACCACTCCCACCATGAACTACTCTTATGCTGATCACCCGACCACTGGGTAGTCCCCATTCTAGTGCAGAAATTCTCTGTATTGAACCTTTTCGTTGAAGTTGAGGTTGCCAAGGTACTAGCATCATTAACGTAATGTACGATATTACCGTACTTTTAGTGTTGTTTCTTATTTTAGTGAATTTGTGGATCCACGATTTGTTGAAATTTTGCAACCAATAATTTTTTCGTTTCTAGCCACCAAAAATTCGTCATTCGTTAAAATTTCTGGGATAATGTACAATCGGATTTATCATCATTTCACATCATGAACATAATCTACGCCAACACCATATGAAAAGGAATCGGAACAGTACGAGCGTATCATTCAAATTCCAATGCCTTGTCTCGTTATAGTGGGCCATCCCTCAGCGGGAAAAACAACTATCGCCWATCTACTCAAAGAAAGAGCTCTATTGCACGATGCCATCGACGATGTTGTTTTGTTGAACGAAGAAACGGAATGCGGTTGCATTCAAACTGACGACAACACGAATGAGCGGCTTGAGACTTCAAAAAATGAGAGAGATAACAAGGTTACGACAACAAAGCAGGAGCTGTATGAAAACTCATTGGCTGAAAAGCAAACCCGAGGTGCTTTGAAAGCATCCTTTGATCGAGCCGTGAAGAAGAGTGGCGGTACAAACAGTAGCAATCGAAGACTTGTGATTTTAGACTCGTTAAACTACATAAAGGGTTTTCGATATGAATTGCACTGTATATCCAAGGCAGCGGGAGAAAAACACGGCATTTTGTGGGTATTAAATCGATTATCGGTCGTCGAAGAATGGAACAAGGACTACTCCCCGCCATTGCTGCAAGAATTGATCTCCCGCTTCGAACCTCCTGACAATAGAAACCGATGGGATAAACCGCTTTTTACTATTGATGTAGAGCCTACTTCAGTTTCTGGTTGTTCTACCGGTACAGAAAGTAATCTACAAACCAGAAAAACGCACTCTAGTAAAAATGAAGTGCTAGAACATTCTGTCTACAATATGCATTCCCTTGGAGAAGCTTTCGGGACTTCGCGAACAAAAGAACAAACCGATAACAATACAGAAACACAACGATCTAAGAAGAGCGCCTTCTCTGCAGCTTCCAACGCATCGAAAGCTCCAAAGAAATCTGCTTTTCGACGGAGAAAAAAAGCTTCGCCACCTTCAGCTTCAGAGAAAAATGAAAAGAAAATTGCATCAGTGTACAATCAAAACAATAAGATCATATTTGATACTTCGATGATGGATTCTTCGGCGCAGGATGGTATAATCGCGTCTGAAAAACCCTCCGATGTTTGCACCTCGAAATCGGCACTGTCTCCTGGCGTCCCTCAACAGTCGATACCGAACGAGGGGCAAACAAGTGACGGTAAATCTCTTGAAGAGAAACTGGATGAAATTCTTGATATCTTCCTTCTACAAACCAAGAATCTGAAAGAGGGAATGTCGACGCGGCAATATGATTGAATAACTTTCGTACAACATGACGTTATTTAGTATTTTCTAACTTATATTTTGCCAAAGAATATTGTAATATATCGATACCTCGTCTTGTAATAATCTCGATTTCCCATACTTGTGAATTGAAGAAATGATTGCACTAGTCTACATGACCGTGCAACTGCTACCCCCACTGCTCGAGGCAAAACTTGAAGATTTCTGGTTTCCAATCGCCAACAGTTCTACCTCAAACGTCAAGTCACTATTTGGGGGGATTGCACCCGGTGCGCCACGTGCTCCGTATCCGTAATCAGATGAAATCTGCAGGTTTGCCTTTTCACCGAGGGACATCTTCATTACACCCTCGTCCCACCCTTTAATGACTTGCCCGATGCCAATCACAAACTTGAATGGTTTCCCCCGCGAGACGCTGCTATCAAACTGCTTTCCGTTCGACGTCAATGTCCCGGTATAATGCATTGTGAGTTGGTCTCCCGCTTTTGGAAACGTGGCTCCATCTCCTTCTGAAATGATTTGTTTCTCGACGCCCATTTTCAATGATTTTCGGCTTACTGTTTTGTGTACTGGTGTCTTCGATTGTGAGAACTCGCAAACAACTTGGAATTACCAAATCGACGACGAGAAACCTCTTTTTTTCAATACTACCGGCATCCGGGTAAAGTATGATACGAACCGTATGTAATTCGTACCATGGGTCATACGGTACAGGGGTCATAATTTAAAGAGGGGAGAGCAACGCATCGAAATCCACATTCAATCCTTGGTACGGTATGTCTAATAATCGTCGAGTAATTAGTCGCGCGCGGGTAATCAACGAGTAATCAGGACAGTAATCA